TTGTTCTGAAACATTCTGGAAGCGTTGCACTGGAGGAGAGAAACAACGAACGGCTCTCTCTCTTTCTACTTGGGGTTCTTGGCAGCGTCGTACTGTGTCGTCCGGGAAGACTGTGTGGCCACTGAGTGAAGATCAGAAGCGGATCGGGGATTCCGGGACAGATGAGGTGGCTTAGAAGAACACTGTTGTTGCAGTGCACCGATGGACTTCTAGTTCAGTCCATGTGAAGTTCGTTGTGACTGGTAGGTGAACTGTAACCGTAACTGTTCGGAAAGGGGTCCCGAAACGTTTTTGATTGCAATCGAATGTTGAACAATTATCACGTGAACTTTGTGATTTACATCATTGTAGCTTTTTGTGGGTAGTGAGAGCACTTTTTCCCGTTCTATGTAGTTTTTTGTGCGTGGCCGACGAGATTGCTTCATTCACGAGTTGCACGTCTTGTGAATTTTCCTAATTTTTCCCGTGCGTTGCCAGGGCCGTTTTGACCGTCGCTTGTGGTTATCATCTTAGGGAATTTTCCACTGCATGCACATTTCGTGATAGGCCTTTGCACTGTGTTGTTTCGGCTGTTTTTTTGGCGAGATTCGTTCTGGTCACTCTTTTTTGGCGGCGTATTTGGGGCAGCGACACACTCTCTCTGTAGATTGTATAGACTGCTTAGTTAGTCGCATTTTGTGATTAGCACGGTGAGACGATTTTGCTGATTTTATTGTGAGGTTGTGAATTTTTATCATTGTATTTACCCCGTCTTGTTTGTGTATGCCTGGGCGTTTGTGCTGAGTTGGGAGCTAGTGTTTGCTTGTGTGGACGTTGTTAACTTTTTTGATCCATGCGCCCTGCTGCTTGTATAGCGTGGGGTTGGTGTGGGCGACATTTACTGCTTTGTTTAGGCATTTTATTTGTACAGCAGCTAGGTGTTTCATCGTACTTGACGTTAGTGTCAAGCACTGCTAGGTTAATTTAGTTAATTTATAGGCAAGTTCCTGGCGGATTAATTTTATGTGATTTTATTTTTCCAGTGACTAGGTGCCGCTGGGTTTATTTGGTCAGTCTGTTTGATTGATTCAGTTTGTTCATTGAGTTGGTTCACTTGACCAGATCCTGTCGGATTAATATTGTGTATCATTTAATAGTGAACTTTACTCCATTGTGTAATATGGTGAGTTCGTTTGGCGTTATTGCATTAAATCGACAGTATCAGCTGTCTCTGTTTATAACTGTATATATGTGTTGGCTGGTTTTTTGGGTTGACTGACTCATTCCCTGACTGTATCTGAATACCAACTTCTCTACTCCGGACCCTCAAGTCTGTCTGTAGTACGCAAGACAGCCCCTGTGATTGTGAGGAGGAAGACGACTATTGGTATCCTGCAGAGATTATTTAGATTGGTGAAAGGAAGTTTCATCATCTGCCTCGCCCCGTCGGAGTCCCATGATCGCCGGAGGGCGGGGGTGGCAGATTGGCGCCCAAACGTGTTGGCTCGATTGGTAATTGGACAACAAACTTGATGTTTGTGCGTGTGTATCGCTGTTCGATTACATTGGAGCAAGAGTAGAGCAGAAACTGTCCGGTGTTGGTTTACAGTCAAGGGTGATCAGTCATTATTTGGTTGTGACATTGGGTTCACTTTGTGCTTGTGGCGGAGTAGTTCATTAATTTGATCACTCCTGTTGTGGCTTTTAACTTTTTTTTGGGTTATTGGTATACACTGGTTAATATGGCAGAAGGCGGTTATTTTTTGGATACACCTGCGCAGGCTGGAACATTACCATCACCTGCGTCTGGTAGTGCAGAACGTACTGAGATGTACAGGCGATTGCTCGATGAGAGCGCGGCCCCTGAGCTGCGCGAAAGAGCCCGCAGATTGGTAGATTAGGAGCTTAAACAGAGACTAACTGATGAGTTTCTTGAGGAGGAAATGCGCAAGGAACGTGAATGTTGTTGTCGCGAGATGGGTAGTCCACAAGACACCCTCAGGGAAAGCACCGTTGAATGCCCTGTCACGGAAACACCAACGAGCGCAACACCACCTATGAATGGCATTGAAGGGGGAGAACACAATCGATATGTTGTTGGCCCTAGCGTATACGCAAGACCTCATGTTCCTACATTCTCCGGCAGTGACCAACACAAGGGAGATGTGGCCTTTAGACAATGAAAGTATGCTATTGGTTGCCCGAGGAAAGACGAGACTTTGTCACTAAGCATAAAGGTGTCGATGAAATGGTCATGAACATGGGAGAGGATGCGCACATTGATGACATCATTTTGACATTGGAAATCCCATATGGCGAGGTGGAAAATGGTTCGATGCTACTAGAAAGGTTTAAGGACAGTTGGCAGAGGGAAGGTGAAGGTATTGAGCAGGATGAGCAGGAATGGTCTGACAGGACAAAAGATAACAAGACTGCCGCTGTCAAGGATCATGTATCACTAGCTGGAGATGATAATGATAGACAACGTGATGATGCAGAGAGAAAGGCTATGATGGTGCTGTTGAAGCAGCAGGCCGACGTCAGAGAATTGAGGAAGGAGAGATTAATAGTTAAAGATGCGACAGCGTCGGTGTCTGTCTTTTTATCAGAGGAATCCAATGTGCTTGTTTACTGGACACTGGTTCACAGGTCATGTCTGTAGGGAATGCCTTCTACTGTAAACACCTTGCAGACATTAAAGTAAAGCCCCTTGATGATTCTGTTATGTAGGGTATATTGAGGTCCCCCTGTCTTTTCCTTGCTCGATGTTTGATGACGAGCAGGAATATCACACATTGGTGTTGGTGGCGGCCGATAATGAGTACATCCAGTCACTACTGGTACTAACCTGCTTGATTTGTACGTGGGAAGCGATGGATTATCTGGTCAGTACAGTGGGATGATGTCCATGTGGATGTCACAGTTGGGAAGAGAAACCTGTCGCGCTCTCAGAGCCAGAGACAAGTTTGTTGGTCCCACTGGTAATATTGGTGAGGTCAAGGCTATGTGCAAGACACCGATTACAGTGCGACTAGACACTGATCACATTGTTTGGTGCTAGGTGCATGGTTGGACTCAGCGTGACAATATGTGGTCATGGTGGAGCCCAGCGACAAGACGTCATGTGATATAGTGACGAGTCCAACAGCGTGCGTGTTGAGTTGCCACAAGAGGAATTCGCATGTGCCAGTGAGGATCAGTAACACTACCGACAGACCTGTGGTAGTTAAACCTGGTGCGATCATAGCCAAGGCAACTGCTGTGGTGCAGATAGGGCATCTGGGACGCAATGCGAACCCCCAGAACACTGGCATGGAGAAGTTGATGATGTGAGTAGGTGCTTTGATGTAGACGGAGTCCCAAGCCCAGCTCCATGGACATCAATTGGCTGAGGTGAAGGACTGTTTCAAACGCAATGCAGATGTCTTGTCCAAACACAACAATGATTTAGGATCTTGTGATCTGGAGAAGCATAGGATAAGGCTGACGAATGATGAACCGATAAGAGAACGGCATAGACGTGTACCACCTGCCCGTTATGATGAATTAAGACAGGTGTTGCAGGGAATGATTGACACAGTCCCTGGGCAGCTCCGATTGTAATGGTGACTAAGAAATATTGGAGCACGCAGCTGAGCATAGACTATCGAAAGTTGAATGCATGCACTATCAGAGATGCGTATGCTCTACTGCGCATTGAAGCATGTTTTGATGCTTTGAAGGGGCGACATTGTTCAGTACGTTGGACTTGAAGGCTGGGTACTGGCAGGTGGTCATGGACAACAGCGATGTGGAGAAGACGGCATTCAGCACACCAGTTGGTCACTTTGAGTGTCTCAGGCTCCCCATGGGACTGGCAACCAGCGCCAGTGAGTTTCAGCGGATTATGGAGAAGTGCTTGGAAGGACTAAACTACAAGACCTGTTTGGCCTACCAAGATGACATTGTGATGTACTCTGACACCTTCGAGGAACACTTGCACAGACTTTAACAGGTGTTCCAGGGGCTGGTAAAGGCAGAAGAAGATCAAATATCTTGGCCATGTTGTGTCAAAGGATGGCATACAGACAGACCCAGGGAAGACAGAAGCCTTGAAGGCCTAGCCAGTGCCTACCAACGTCAAGAAGGTGAAGACGTTTCTTGGGGTAGTGGGATATTATCGCCACTTCGTTGAGGGCTATTCAAAAATTGCTAAGCCACTCAATGAGTTAATCACAGGGTTGTATGAGAGAACAGGTAGAGGGAGTAAGATGAGACTGGTGCCAGAGAGTCAGCACCCAATTTTCGAATGGACTCTAAAATGCCAACTGGCGTTCAAGACTTTCTTTGAGCGGCTGACAACCACACCGGTCCTACCGTATCCTGACTACAGCAGGCCCTTTGAGCTTCACACAGATGCGAGTTTGTTGGGTCTGGGTGCGGCCTTGTATCAGAATGAAGGAGAGCAGGGTTGTAGCGTACGTGAGCCAAAGACTGGTCAAGAGTGAGCACAACTATCAAGCTCACAAGCTTGAGTTTTTGGCGCTGAAGTGGGCTGTCACAGAAAGGTTTAGCTATACCTGTACGACAACAAATTTGTTGTTGTGATAGACAACAACATGCTCACATATGTTATGAAGAGCGCAAAATTTGACGCGACCGGACATCAATGGTATGCTGCATTATCGCAATACCATTTTGAATTGCAGTATAGACCTGGTAAGCGGAATGCAATCTGATTAAAATCCGATGTAGGTATGAGGCTCATTTTTTTTTTTTTTTTTTTTATTTTATGAAAATTTATATTATATTTATCTGTATTTTAGTTTGAATATGTCGATTTTTTGGTTTTTCTTGCCGTTAATCAGTTCTTTAAAAATCGTGTCCCAGTCGCCTCTAACTACATCTGACTCAATGCCTATACAAATCTCGTACTACGAGATCAGTTTCGACGAGTTTTGTCGACCATCATAGTGCGGCTTACAAATAGAGCTGTCTAACTTTGCGCATGCGCCAGACTCATCGTTACTTATTATTTCAAGATGGCTGCAAGCAACATTACGATCGATGTGAAATCAATAGAAGATTTCGAATTTGAGGTTAGTTTAAGTCATTTGTACAAAAACTTAATTAGCTTTTGTGAGTAATCACGATTGATGTATGTAATTTATTTGAGGTATTTCGGATTTCAACTTTGACAGGGTTATGTTACCGCAGATGAGGCGGCGTTACTTGACACTGTTTACGAGTGTCACTTGATGCAATATAAGCCATACATGCACGTTGGTTCAACTTTATAGTATACTAATACAGTCCTCACGATCTAACTATTGTGTTATGACCTTCAATCGTTTTTGCAAGTCTACGATAAAGCTATAGCTTTCATGTCAGTAATTTTCGTATTCGTATTTAGCCCTCCGACGACGTCAACTGCCCCCGTTGTATGAAGTAAAAAGTTTAGTCTTCATGCCGTGACATCGACCTGTATGCACGAACAAGTAACGTGAATAATTTATTTGCCAAGTATTTTTTATTGCAATATATTAAATGTGGACAATTTCCTTTTCTTTAAGGTGTGTAAGAAATTCGGAGTGGATGAGTTGAAACCTGCACAGAAGGAGGCATTAAAACATCTGCTATCAAAAAACAATGTCTTGGCTATTCTACCAACTGGTTTTGGTAAATCACTGATCTACCAAATGTACCCATGTATGATTAAGGAACCTGGTTCTGTTGTCATTGTCTCTCCTTTGGTTTCATTAATGAAAGACCAGGTAAGATTTTCACTCAACATTCAATACTGATACAATTCACAACACCCATTTGTTAAATATCCCCTAATTATTTCCCACCAAAGAACACAAAAATGTATACATGTACTGGCCAGGTGATATGTACATGGATATGGAGAAAATATCACATACAACAGTGAGTTACTCCAAAATAAAGCAAAATGTGAAATTCTTTGCTTCTTGTCTTTGGCGTTTAGCTCAAAAATAAACAAAATTCTCATTGTAATAGTGACAGAAAACTTAAGTCTTCAAATACATCCAAACTGACATTTTGCGTTGAAATTGTGAACAAATATGTGTGAAAGTCAATTTTTTTTATATATATTTTCTGCTAAAATGTGAACATATTCCCCCACTACTGCATGAAAGTTGTGTTGTGTTGTGTGTGTAGGCACTGATTTGGCAGTGAATTACTTATTTGCTCATGGTATTAAAATGCTGGACATTGTCTTTCAGTTTTTATGCATGCTGTTTTAAGACCAAACATAAACAAACTGATGGGCTGTATTAAATCATAGTTACCATAATCACTGTAATGAACTACATGCACCTTATATCAGGCAACTCATTATAAAGCTGCTCATTATAACAAGATTTCAGTCTACATAAATGTTTTATTGCAATTTTATATTTTATAACACCTTGAAACAATTTCATAATTCCAGATATCTACTTTGACCTCCAAGGGATTTAGCGCAGAAATGGTAAGCAATGTCAAAAGTGACCAAGACTTACCAACCTATTTGTTTGGTTCACCAGAGGAGTATCTAAAAGGAAAAAAAAAGAAACTTTGTAGATGGTCTGCTAGAACACCATTCTGATGACATTGTTTTGCTTGTGATAGACGAGGTTCACACAATTCCAAAGTGGTATGTACCTAATAAATCTTAGTTGTACAGAGAAAATATTATTATTTTTTTAAAAATCAGGAAATGATGAATACTGTAAATTACTTTATTTGTGCTGAAAGAATGATTAAATCCAGTGACTATACCTTTTTTTCTATATTTTACATTCAAAAATCAGTAAAAATATATTCAATACAAAACACCCAAAAAGTCTTTTCAGCATAATTAATTTCAGCTAAAATTTTTTACTATGTTAAATTTAGAGTCTAAGCATACACACTTTAACCTCCAAATGATAATTTCTGTGATCTTTTTTCGTAGGGGTGAAAAACCAGATGACAGCAAAAAAAGTCGGCGCAAGACACAACAAGGTGCATTCAGGGAATATTTCTCGCATGTTGCAGAACTTCGCTCTGTTTTACCTGACGTAACAGTCCTTGCACTGACCTCAACTGCCTCAAAGTCTCTACAGTCACAGTTGAAAGACAGCCTCATTATTCCAGATTGCAAGACTATAAACGCGTGTCCGAATAGGGAAAATATTAGATTGTCTGTTATAAAGACTCCTAGGGACATTGCATCCACATTTTTTTGGACGGTTGACAAACTAAGGGAAGAGAAAGATACTTTCCCACGGACAATTATTTATTGTTCATCAATTGATGCAACTGGAGCGCTTTTTCATTATTTCAAAGAGGATAATTCCCAGTCAGTTTTATATATGGGAATGTATCATAGTGAAACTGACAGTGTTGTACAAGAGTCTCATCTAAAAGAAATGGCCAAAATGTCCAACTCAAATTTGAGATTAATGTTCTGCACCACAGCCCTTTGCATGGGCATTGATATCAAAACAGCTCATCATGTACTTCATTTTGGTCCCTCTTTTGATATTGAAAGTTATATACAGGAGTCGGGTCGAGTTGGTAGAGATAATGAACCATCTCATGCAGTCTTATTCTATCATGGTGGAATGCTGAGAGAGATTTGTCCCAAACTAAAAAAATATATAATAAATGAAACAGTATGTAGGAGAGTGAACTTATTTAAAGACTTTGCTTCAAATAAAGACATCAGTGACATCAAGAACAAGAAACCACATCACAGATGTTGTGATATTTGCGAAAAAAATTGCCAGTGCGGTCACTGTGTTGAACATGCTAACTATTTTGAAAAACACATGATACACTACTGTGCCCAAACAGACAGTGAGGAAGAATCTGATGACAGTACTAGTAGCCTAGAAGCTGATGCAATTGTGAGGAGTACTTCAGAATCCTCAAGCTCAGATGATGCAGAACAGCATTTTGTGTGAAAACTAATGTACTGAGCCAAATTTACATTTGTTGTATCAGTTTATTCATGTCATGAAACACAGCACATATATCTATACGATACCATTTATTTTCCATAAACATCCTATTAAAGCAGGATTAAAAAACAATTGACAGAACATGGTTTATTTAAGCATCAATAAATATTTATCTCTTAAACAAAATACTTTTAATTTAAGGGATATGTTGCTACCTACTATTATTTAATTATGATGGTACTATTCCAAACTATTGATCTTGACGGTTACAGACGAATGATATTTTGCACAAGGGAACATTGGCTAAAATATAGGTAGAAACAATGAAGTCATCAATTAAAAAAGACTTAAAAAACAAAACTTGTATGAAAAAACAAGCAGCACTGTTAAAAATGTACATTTCAATTAAGAACTGAAGATATTGTTAAGAAGTGAACAAATCCTAGAGGTCAACCTGAGGTACCTATATACTATCAAAGCACTTGCGGTTGCGGTTTTCAACAACAATTCGAAAATCACTTTTTACCAAAAATGTCAAAAATATTTATCAAAATCAGAGAATTTAATATACTGTAAAAGGGTTAATTTTGCTTATTTCGCTGAATTAAAATCCAGGGAATATGTGAAATTTAGCAAAGAACACATTATCTAAATGATAAAACTGAATTTAAAACCCACTGAATATGCGTGAAATGGTATATCAGCGAAATTTAAACCCAGTGATAATTTGTCATTTTACAGTATCACAAAATGAACAAATCTAAGAGAAGTCTGCCAAAGGTAAATTAGCTACTATGCGTGTCGACACACAAATAGATTTTGTTTGTGTCTTGACAGCATTTCAGTCAATTTTCTGGGATCAGTATTAAACAGATTTTGTGAAGTGCGTAGTTTAGTGCACTTCATTTTTCTCTCAGGTTCATACTGCAAAGCATTCTTGTCAATCAGATCTGTAATTATTGTACGGAGGTCTGCGTCTCTGTGAGGCATCTTATGGAGTCCCTTTTTCCTTCGAAAGGACATAACTTTGTCAAGATGCGAGACATGGTAATTTGTACATTGTAGAGCGATGCCTGATTGATACAAGATTGCTTAGACTGGTTTCCTTTACACAGCCTTTTTACTTCCCTATTGATCAACTCGATATGCCCATCAATGGCTTCATTATTATTGATGCCACCACATACATTTACAGTTCGATTCCAAGTTAATCGGTGAGCTTGACTTGTACTAAGTTTTGCCTGCACTAGTGTCTGCAAATGAATGCATGCAATAAGGTATTTAACCTTATTGGTTCGGTTGTATATGCCAAGTTCATACTTGGATGATCTCACTGCTCGGGGGCCATCACCAGCATCTGTTGCTGTAACTAAATTTCTGTGTAAGAGTCCAAGTTGAAATAAAGTCAACTGGTAATTATATATGTCATCAGCATTGGTTGGTGTAGGTCTTGCTGTTGTTCTTGGTTTGGTTGGTGTGACCCCATGAACTGCTTTCTCGTGTGCAATAACACTCTTTAGATTAACATAGGATTTCTGACAGTGATGACACTTGTATCTGGAACAAATAATTGATAAATATAGAGAGGTGTTTAAATGGTCAGAAACAGTAGCAATAAAATGAACAAGCAGACTCTAGGCTGAGATAGCTCCGCTGTTAGCAATGCACATTTCAATTACAGAACTGAAGATATCATTAGAAAATGAACAATATGTATAGTATCAAAGCAAAGGACCTTGTGGTTTTTAACAAGAAGTCGAAAATCTCACTTTTTACCAAAAATGACAAAAATATTCACCAAAATTAAAAATATCATTACAAAGTGAACAAATCTGAGAGAGGTCCACATGTATTACCTATGTATGTAATATAAAAGCAATTGGACTTGCGGTTTTCAACAAGAAGTTGAAAATATCACTTTTTACCAAAAAATGACAAAAATATTCACCAAAATTTGAGAATTAAAGATATCATTACAAAATGAACAAATCTGAGAGAGGTCTACCCAAGGTACATATACACCAAGTATCAATGCATTCAGGCTTGTAGTTTTCAAGAAGAAGTCGAAAAAGTAAAACATTGACACGGACGACGACGGACAATCACTCATATGATAAGCCTCGCTCGACAAAGTCGAAAGCGGAGCTAAAAAAAAAATTGGCTTACATTAATTTTGTAAATAATGGTCATCATAAAGGCAACAAATAGGCACTAGTAATATACAGACATTTACTTCTGTTTAATAAAAATTGTATTTACCTATTATCTTCATTTAGTTGTGACATCCATGAATTTTCGTGAATTGTTTCAGCATTTAATAATGCTTGTAGTGAAGAATACATATCTGATTCTTTTAGGTAGTATTTCTTCAGCACATCAGTACAGATTTGTTTGTACCATTCCATTTTTTGAACATCATCAACATGTGGGGGGAATTCAATATCTGAATCAATAGTACTCATATTCAATTCCTTCATTATCATCAAACAAATCTGTGCATCTAGAACCAGATTATAGAACCATTTGTTAGCTCTATAGGAAGACTTCACCTTATTTGTGACATTTGTGTACTTCAACCGATTTCTAAAGTACACAATAGTGCAAACATCTGCAGCACTTGTCTTGTCATATGTTAATTTATGGATACCCTGAAAAAAATAATTTTTTTATACAAGTTAAAATATGATGGCATCAGACAGCAAGCACCCCCCCATCTTTACTAAATTCATTCATCAATACAACCAAATAATTTAGAAAACTATACACGCTGACTGATTGGACATAAACAAAATATGCGTTGTGGTACTAGTATGTGAATTAATATACCGGTACCTCTAGAAAGTTCATCTCTCGATGGAAATCTTCACATTTCGGAATGATACCTTCTAAGCGTTTAACTGAGGTTCCAGCATCATCCATGTTAAGTTTTGCACCTTGTGCCCTCTCATCAGTGAGTCTATCACCTCCAGCAATACAAATATTAAATATATGAAATAATTTTGAATTCATTAAATTTGACAACAATGGCATTTTCAGTACCAGCTCCCGAGTTAGACTGTGACATGGTATTAAGTTTAATCGTTACTTCAATTCCACATAAATAAATTTAATTCAGTCATAATACATGTATATACATAGAACATTATTCAAAATTATTGAGAAAGGCCATTTTCTTTCAACAAAATCTGATGCAGAGCCATATCTCTGACATGTATTGTACATTATGTCCACATATTAGCATGCACTTGTTTAAAGATGCAATATCGACAAGAAATGTTGATGAATACATTATTAAACCATGATTTATCACAGCATGAAAATATTGTTCTTGTAGCACACATCTGGGTTTTCATTTGATGACAAAAATATATTCTTTTATATGTTGGTGCAACGATTTGATTCGTAAAAATAACAATCAATGCACATGCATACTACTGTTGCATGTCTCACAAATGCTACGTTTTTAGTTCATGATAAATAAATAAAACTGATTTGTTCTACAGTATGGAATATTGAGCCTCTAAGCTCCGACTCCGAATGGCTGAATGTGAGAATGAATTAAAACTGTGCCAGTCCACTTATACATGTACTAGGCAAATTTTAAATTAAGATATGACTTACCAAAAAATAATGGCTCAGCCACTTCCACTTCACCAGACAAACTGACAAATGTTGGAACGTACTTGGCTGATATCATCTTAAGTAGTTTTATCATATCCTTTGTTTTGCTTTCGTTTATATCAAACAAGCCTATAACAAACTATTCAAAGAAACATATTAGAAGACTAAAAGAATACAGCATGGCACCAAGGCATATTTTGAAGAATATAGCACTGAACTACAATCATAGACCCTCTAACAGGTTAGAGGGTCTATGCTACAATGTACTATTTTAATAATACTTACGAAAATTCCAATTTGTTCAGTTTTCATGTAGGATCAAAATAAGCCGTGTTCCTAGCTTTGTCTTATATTTGTTAAAAGGAGCATTGAGATGCCTATGTTAAGGTTGATCAACATAATTTCTAAGAGCCTTTTACAACAGTGGGCATTAACTAATGCAGATTCTCTGTACTACCCGAATGTGGTATTCAAGTGATAAAATTATTATACATCTGTGTGTAGTAATAATTTTGTGAGATATAATAACAGCCTGAAATTCCAGTGAAAAGTACTCATGCCTGGGCATCACTGGCATTCAGTCATGTGATTTTAATCAGTTATTATTGCTGGGTCTGAACTAAACAATTAAAGAAAGTGTTGAAATTTGATGTAAACTTTATGCTCCAAATAAGGATGACAATCAAAAGAACAAATTGAATATGTCTCTTAGTATTCAAAATTTGTTTTTAACTCCATGAATGGGGACTACCATGCATGGGTACTTAGTTTCTACTTGAAGTATACTGATCAACCTTAGACTACCATTTAAATTGAGTCGTAACATCCAAGTTCACCAACTACAAGAATCTATGCATAGAATTAATAAGCATGGGAAAAAATCTACAGCGTGTGATGAATGGTGCAGGAGGTCAAGCAATTTACATCCCTGAATACACACTATGTATTCCACCTGATTCTAAAGTATTATACTAATGTCAAGCAGTTTGAGGAATTTTGCACATAAAGGGTGCATAGTAAAACATTATTTACTTATCCTGCAATTCAGTGATAACTATTTCCTGGAAAAATAATAAAGATACAAAGTATTAAAGTTAGATGTACAATCTCACATTTCCATACATTTTAGGTACTTAAAAACACAATTATTCAAATTACCTGTATAGACTTTTTAGCCATTATATCTTCATATTGATGAGGCAAGTTTTTTGGATATGTGGAACTAAACTCTTTCTGAAGAGCAGGTACATTTTCAACACCTGATTTTCCAATTAAGTAAACAAGCTCATCCTGCCAGTGTCTTCTGTTCTTCTTCAGATGGTAAAAAATCTGAATACTTCAAATTGTTTACCGAATCTTGAGGCATAGAATTTTCATACTCA